GATAGACAATCAATTATATTTTACTACAACAATGGAATACACATACAGAATAATAAATAAATTCTTTGTCTTTCAGCTTGTGTAGTATTCTCTTCCCCATATTATTTCTGTCCAAAAATACTCTCTGTATGATTCCATATTTCTTCCATCAGAGTCTAGACTAATATTTAAAAAAAATAAAGTTAGCTGAGGCTAGGCACAGTGGCTCATGCCTGTAATCCCAGCGTTTTGGGAGGCCAAGGCGGGTGGATCTCCTGAGGTCAGGAGTTCGAGACCAGCCTGGCCAACATGGTGAAACCCTGTCTCTACTGAAAATACAAAAATTAGCCAGATGCGGTGGTGCGCGCCTGTAATCCCAGCTACCTGGGAGGCTGAGGCTGAAGAATTGCTTGAACCTGTGAGGCAGAGGTTGCAGTGAGCTGAGATCGCACCATTGCACTCCAGCCTAGGTGACACGGCAAGACTCCATCTCAAAAAAATAAAATACAATGAATAAAATAAAATAAATAAATAAAGTTAGCAATCTTTGCTAATCACTGACTTCAAGTTTTGGTTGGAGATTTGAACTTCTGTTGTAATGTTTTGGATACAGTTACTGGACCCAGGAAGTCCATATAGAACATGGGCTGCTGTAATGGAATGTAGCTAGTAAGTTTTGTCATTAGTAGATACATTCGAATTTTCTATGTGTAGTCCTTGTTCGTGAATTAAACAGCTATTTTAATTACCACCTAATACATTTCTGACACTTAACAGATGCTGGGAATACAATAATTAGCAGAAAAGTCATCCTTCTCTTAACAGAGATTTCATTTGAGTGTTTTTCATTTACACAGCTATGGTAGAATGAATTATATCCTGATCTGAGTGTCAGTTGAAAAACAATTTACTCTGAGCAGAAATCTAACATGGTATGGTAGATTATAAAAATGACCACAGATTGTTTTCTTTATTGCATTCACAGCATTAGGATGCGACGTACAACCTGCATACTAAAGCTTTTCTGCAAACAATTTCTCTTCTTGACTCAAAGGTTTCATGACCTCCCTTTGAATTCCCATTGAGCTTCTGTAGTTTAAAGTATTCATCTGAACAAAACGAATAGTATGTCTTTTGTAAATAAATGATCACTGGCTAGGCTTTCAGGTCCACCTATTGCTAGATTATCTTTATCGAAGATAGAAATAGAAAATAATTGCAAAAAGGAGTTAGATGCAGTATAAAGAGGGTAGCTAACGATAGAAATAAGTGTTTTTTAAGTGCCATAAAATGTAACAAATATGGGAATATAGGGTAGAAAAAATAGCCTGAGTCGTAAGAGGCTTTTTAAGGCAATGCATTTATTTATTTTACATTCATATTTTTGCAATAATTTGGACAGAATTTATAAAGGGCCTAATATGTATTGTTTTTGTCACTATCTTGTGACATATTGTGGCTTTGATTGTTTTTCTTAATTGGGAGGTTTAAAATAGGCCATGTTGAGGTAGTCAAGCTCAACTCATTTGAAGCCTGGATTTTGAATTTTGTTTTGGACATATTTATCTTCTGTGAATAAGCTTTTTTCTTACTTTGTAAATAAGCTATTTCTTTCTTTGTAAATAAGCCTTTCAACTACCACCCACCCCTATTTGGTCGCAGGCTGGGGTGAGGGTCAGGGCCTCTTGGCAAAAGGAGTAGGTTGGCAGGAATTGTAGGATTTAGCATAGTGGCTATTTACTGGCTAACATGATAGTGTCTTATATTTTAATATAAAGATAAATACTATCTTTGTATTTTAGTAAATATATTATCCTTATGTATTTAGTAAAATATTAGTAATATTTTAACAACGGGTGCAGGTTAACTGGCTGAATATTATCTGTGCCTGTAGGATTAGTAGGAAAATCTGGACATGTGCTCTATCAGTGGTATAGACCAGAACTTTCCAACCCACATGCTGGGACATCTTAATTTGCTGAAATATTGATCCCCTCCTCTCTCAGTTTAGTCAGGTGGGGACTGGGCCAGCCATAGTTTCCAGGTGGCCATTAGGGAGAATGAGGATCCTATTCCACTTACCCTTAATGTTTCACATAAACTTTACAATTTTATGTTTGTAGTATTTCAGAAAACTTGTTTTGCGCAGTATGCAAATATAAGATCTCTCTCTTGTGTTTTTTAAAGTGATGAGAAGCTTTCAAACATTAGCAAAATAATCCTTTTAGGATACAGTGGCAACATATCCACTATACATTCGTCAGCCTGGATGTTTAGTTTCTTTTCGGTATGAACCCAACTTAATTTTTTTCAAACTGAACAAAGTTGGTCAAACATGAAATTAAATGGGCTTGCATCTGTAATGCCTTCTCTCAGGATATGTCTTTGTTTATTAGCCATACCTCTAAACCACCTCCTCTCCCACCTTCTGCATCATACACTGTCTTATGCTTCTTGCTAGGTCTCGGCTAATCCTTTTTTATCACTACTGATCCCACTTTCTTATCTCTCTTCTGCAGTGAAAACAGCTTTAAGATTCTCTGTCAAATCAAGTCTCCTTCTCTTCTATTTTCCTCAGTGAACTCTCTGGGGAGTATGCTCAAGTTGGTATCTTTTGTCCTTATTTTTCTTTTAAGATCCAGAAGGACATTTTCTCCAATTGTCTGCTATGCGTCTTCATTTAGGTTTTCTTTTCATACCACAGACTCAAGATGCTTGAAAGCAGCCCTTCACTTTTGCTTCACCTTCTACTTTTCTTCATCCTCTACTTTGCTGCCACCTACAATTCAAACTTTGGGGTGTCTTTGGGTTCCCCTGAATGTTTAATTCCTTACCGTGTTCTATGGATTCAGTATCCACAATGTGTCTCTATGTATTCCCTTACGCTGCATATTTTTACCATCAGCCAAGCTCATTACCTCTCACTCAGGTTTCGCAATAGCAACTTCATTGATCTTCCCACCTTCACGCTATTCACTCTTCCAGTCTTTCCTTTGTGTGGTTTTAAGTTAGGTTTTCTCAGAGCTCAATTCCAATTAAACTATGCCCTGGCTCACAGGCCTTTGTACTTGCCTCTCATGATCTTGCCCATCAGGATCTCATGGCAGGTTTCTTTGTATTCTTCTCTATGGAACCTTCTGGTCTACCAAGCCAAGCACAAATTTTCAGCTAGAATTTTAGATTTTTTTTTTCCCCAATATGAGCTCAATTCAATTCTAGGCTTATCTATCATTGCTCTAATTAACTAACAAACTAATTATTACTAAAATATTCATTGAACACCCACTCTATGTCTCTATGCCAAACAATGGACCCCAGTTCATTGTTAGGGTAAAATGCTAAGGATTTTATAGTTAGGGGTACATTGCTAGGGATAAAATGGTGAATAACAGTATACAGAGTCACTGTTCTCGTGGAGTTTTCAGTCTCGTGAGTGGCACAGGCAGAGATCATTTGTATCAGTGAGGTGCACAGGGCATGAGAGCTTATAAACGGAATATTAATTGGTAATTTAAATCTGGGATGAGTGTCCAGAGAAAACAATGCTTGTATAAGTAATAGAAGATTATTTCAAATGCTGTCAAAAAGCCAAGGCCAACCATACTTATGGAGGAATGAAATTTAAGTAATAGTGAGGAAACCCCCTTGCGAACGGTTCTACAGTCACGCAGGCCTCCGACTCTGCTGTCTGAACAGAAATTTGTTCCTGCCTCAGGGCCTTTGCACTCGCCTTTGATGATTCTGCTTCTCAGGATGTCATGGCAGTCTCCTTCAATATTCTCAGATTCCCCTCTCCCTGACCTCCAGAACTAATCTAGTCCCCTGCTTATCATTCTCTCTCACATCATCCTATTTATTTTCTTCAAATGTAATCATCTTGGTTTGTCTTCCATTTACTTGCTTATTGACTGCCTTCTGCACTAGACTATAAACTCCTAGAGGTGTGGCTTCTGACTCTTCATTCATATCACCTAGGTCAATGTCTGATATATGGTAAGTGCTCAATTAATGTTACAAATGAAAGAGAATAATAAAGATATATATGAAGGATCATGAAGATATCTATATATATCTCATATATATCTCTGTTATACCTCTCTCTCTATATTTTTATATATAGACATCTATTTATCTACTTATCTATCTCTCTAGATAGCTACATAGATATTTCTCTCTAGATATCTCTCTGATATGAGAGGTAAGTAGATATATATGAGAATATAGGTATCTACATATATCTATATATGATATCTCTCTATATATGAGAAGGTTTAATCTGTGGGGAGTTAATAATTGATTTTTCAGAAATGATAACTACATTATGTTTTCTTAGAGATGTGACTGCTACACAATTTTTACCAATTTGTTTTTCAACTTTTATTTTAGATTCTGGGGTACATGTACAGGTTTGTTATAAAGGTATATTGTGTGATGCTGTGGTTGTTGGGTGGAGTATTCTATAGATGTCTATGAGGTCCGGTTGGTCAAGTGTCAAGTCTAAGTCTAGAATTTCCTTGTTAGTTTTCTGAATTTGTACCAATTCTTTATTGAAGAGGAAAAAGATACTTTGTTGTCTAAATTATTTGACATTTAGTTTTAAAAGCACTCTCAGGAAATTTACTTGAAGTACATACAAAATAAAATGGATTAATGGATATACTGAGAGATGAACAGATGAATAGATATGGGATGGAGGAAATTTAATGAAATAGTAATGTTGAATCAAGTGATGGCCATATAAATATTCACTATAAAATTATTTCAACATTGCTGTATTTTCAAACTTTCTTTTTCTTTTTTTTTTTTGAGACGGAGTCTTTGCTCTGTCACCCAGGCTGGAGTACAGTGGCGCGATCTTGGCTCACTACAAGCTCCGCCTCCTGGGTTCACACCATTCTTCTGCCTCAGCCTCCCGAGTAGCTGGGACTACAGGAGCCCGCTACCACACCCGGCTAATTTTTTTGTATTTTTAGTAGAGATGGAGTTTCACCGTGTTAGCCAGGATGGTCTTGATCTCCTGACCTTGTGATCCGCCCATCTCAGCCTCCCAAAGTGGTGGGATTACAAGCGTGAGCCACCGTGCCTGGCCTCAAACTTTCATAAACAGTTCTGGGAAAGAAAACATAACTGAGTATATCTCTGCCTTCAATAGAGCTCGAGTTTAATTTCCTATGCATTGTGCACTTTTAGGATTGTACCAGAAGTGTCTCTGACTAGCAAGAAAGCAGACAAGATCATCCTTTATTTACACTGACTAGGCAACAAATATTATATTATACACCATTGGTAAGATTGCCAACAATAAGAATTGTGCACTCACATGGTTAATCAGAAGTTTGGATAACCAGAATCTCGGCTTTCTACTACCTGCCCCACAGCCTCTGAGATCTGCAGGCGGGTACCAGGGGATTAATTACAGTCAAAGGTGCAAGATGACTCATGGATGTTACTTGTTGCAACAGGAGAAATCATTTTTTCATTTGTGACTCATACGCCTCTCATAAGCCTCTGGGGAAAGGTACTCTGTCATTGTTAAAATGATTCAGTGTCTTTCCATCCCGTAGGTCTCGGTGACTCTGTGGCCTTTCATGCTTTTTGTGGGTTTAGGATGGGAAGAACTCTCATTATAGAACATCAGTAACTATAATGTGAATGGGTGTTGCCAGCTTATAAAACCATTCCATTTGTCTTACTTCACGTAATTGTCACAATCATCCTATGATGCACATACGCCAGGAAATATTGTGCATCACACCTATACAAATGTGGGGATTGAGGTATGGAGCGTGTAAGTGACATGGCCAAGTTCACTGTAGGATACTAAGTTAATAAGCTGAAATTAGAGTCTAGACTTCTGACTTCGAATCCAGGCACTCTTACTTGATGTCCAACTAAAAATGCCGGCAAATTCTCACTACCTAATTCTGTCAAGAAGAGTAAAGTTTTAGAGAAAACAGGATCAGGGAAAGTCATATGAAGATAGCTGTAAAGAAGATGAATTTTTCCTGGCTTGAATTTATGCCACTTCCTTGTGATAGCTGTAAAGAAGATGAATTTTCCCTGGCTTGAATATATGCCACTTTCTTGTCTTTTACTTTGGATTTCCTGGCATGGGAATTAAAGAGCGTTGACTGTGGAGTCAGATATTCCTGGGTCTGAAACTCAACTCTACCAGTTTCTACCTGCAACTTCAGGCAAATTGCTTGGCTTCCTTAAGCCTCAGGTTTTATATCTAAAAAAATGAAGTTAATTACAGTACCTATGCCCAATGGGCCTGTTTTGAGGATTAAATGGAATAATGCCCATGAAGGGTATATATCAGTACTTATTGATGGTAGATCCTTATAAATATTGGTGAGAATTTTATCTAGCAATCCTACTTCTGGATATTTATGAAAAAAATTGAAATCAGAATCTCAGAGATATATTAGCATTCTCATGTTCATTGCAACATCATTCACGATAGGCACAGTGAGGAAAGAATCTAAATGTCCATCAATGGGTAAATGAATTAAAGATGTGGTATATACATACAATGGGATATTATTCAGCTTTAAGAAAAAAGGAAATCTTATAATAGCAACAATATAAATTAACCTTAAAGGCTGTATGACTCTCTTTACATGAGGTATCTAAAATAGTCAAACTCACAGAAAGAAAAAATAGAATGGTGGTTGCTAGGGACTGGAGGAAGGGGAAATGGGAAGTGCCAATCAACAGGTATAAAATTTCAGTTATGCAAGAGGAATAATTTCTAGAGATCGACTTCGCAATATTGTGCCTATAGAAAACAATATTGTATTGTACACTTAAAAATGTTAATAGGATAGATGTCATAATAAGTGTTTTTACCATGATAAAATTAAAAAAAAATCAAAATTAGAATATGGAATTATTCTCATATATTTAATTAAATTTATCTATCTAATTGGAAGAAATTACATAAACATATTTTTGGAATCAGAAAATTCTTGCAATAAGAAAACGTTAAATGGTTTTCTAGGTAAACAGTATAAGCTTAAGGTACAGACATAAAAATGAAGGAGCAGGAGAAGTTTCTTTTGGTGAGTTGTTAAACAAAAGGATAGCTTTCCATGAGAGAGGCCAAGGAGGACATTTTTTTCTGTAGCCTCTTAGAATTAGCATCCATCCATCCATTCATTTCTTTCTCCATTTAGCATATCTTTACTGAGTGTCTCTAACATGTCAAGAAATCCTTGCTTCATGGATATTGCAGGCTAGAAAGGGAGACAAACAAATTAACACACCACATAAATTAATGTAAAATTATACCCACTGTAATTGCTACAGAGTATATCACAGGAAGCCTTGACTTAGTGAGGAAGCACTCTGGAATAGTGGGTAAAGCTATACTGAGACGTGATAATAGTGCTGAGATCTGAAAGTGAGTGGCAGATTGACCAAGTGAGATGGAGTGAGAGCAAGAGAGTTGACAAAATGGTTCAGCCATTGGGATCAGGAGCAAAGAGCCTGTGGCAGAAGAGAGTGTGAAGACCTGAAGAGAGCCAGTGGGCTGAAACAGAGATAGCAAGAGCCAGAGTGGTACAAGGTGGGTAGTGGCCATGGGGCAGTCTTGGGGTTTGGACTTTATTCTAAGAGTCATAGGAATCCATTGAAGAGTTTCAGATAGGGTTATAACATAACTGCCAGGAGTCACTTAGTGGAAAGAGACATGAGCCTGGTTGATGAAGCCACTTTCATTCCTATGCCCATAAAGTGGAGCCCTATAGCCTGAAGGTTAGAAATAAAATGACCTGCAGGATCAGTCATCTGAATTTAACTCAGTGCTCAGTGGTATTCAAAGCTGTGAAAGCAGTAGGCTTTGGTTCTCCTCCTCTGGAAAGTGTATTGAATAAACAATAAAAATATGGCTAATGCTTCACCAAGTGTAAATGCCAGTCACCACAGGGTGAGAGAGAGACAACAGTTGAGATAGTGAATTCAGAAAAATGATGATTTTAATTAACTAACAACCTACTAAGCAAATTAAAATGTACCTTACTGATACATTTTCATTCTTACCTAGCACATTTCCCCTACTGTGATCCTCCTTTTGGTGTTTACTATTCTCTTTCTTCTCTTTATCACGTTACTACATATTTATGAATCCTTAAACAACACATGGTTGAGTTTGTACATTTTTGTAAACCATAGAAATACAAAGGATCATAAGAGCCTACTGTGAACAACTATGCACAAATGAATTGAGAAACCTAGAATATATGGATAAATTCCTAGAAACATACAACCTACCAAGACTGAATCATGAAGAAAGAAAACCTGAACAGGTCAATAATGATCACAGTAAAGCAGTAATCAAAAACCTCCCAGCAAAGAAGAGCCCAGAATAGGATAGTCTAGCACCTTTTTTGAATTTTGAATTTTATTTATTTATTTATTTATTTTAGAGACAGAATCTCTTAAAAAAAAAAAAAAAAAAACACAAAACCTCTAGTTGCTCAAAAAATCTCTATGTTGCCCAAGCTGGTATTGAACATCTGGACTCAAGAGATCCTCCTGCCTTGGCCTCCCAAATGTTGAGATTACAAATGTGAGTCTGACCCAAGCACCTTTTTTGATTTCATGTTTCCTTATATAATCTGTCTAAATATCCCAGCTTTCTTCAAATTACACAGTAATCAAGTATGTTTGGAGATTTACAAAGTGGGCTATTTTTAACACTGAGTGGGGAACACGTTTGAGATAGTAAATTTGCCCAAGGAGAGTCGGGTTGCTATTTCTAAGTAATCAGGAGAACAAGCAGTGCTTAAGAGTCTCTGGTTTGGACCAGGGGAGACAGAAAAAGCCAACCATTGAGCCCACTCCCACTTGTAACCCGGAACTGAGGCAGGAGAAATCATCTGAAATCCACCAGCAGGAGGAATATGGGCACTTGCCTGCCTATTATGAAGAGCCATGAAGTCAAAATAGCTTTTTATTCTTTTCGTCTCCTCCCCAACTTTCCTATTTGATATTAGCCATTATCATTTTAATAATGCCTCTTCCTCCCAGACAACCAGTTTTTGTTTTCCTAACTTTGACATGTGTGGCTAAGTCCCCAGGAGCTATGAGTGATTTAATGTGTTATTTTCTAGTAGGGGTTTAATTGAGAAACAAACAAAGCTAAAAGAGTATTTTGCAGAGCTTGGAGTAAGGGAATGAATATATACTGGTAGAATTTCAGGCAACAGCTAATCCAGTAGCACCGACTTGCTTCGAGCTGGGGAAGCAAGCTTGCATTATTGTGCTTTCTGCAGCTAAGGTAACCTTTAATAAAAGTTTAGACACTAGAGATCAGCATGTTACTAAGAGTGTCCACTTATCCTTCTAGCACTAAAACCCTCTCTTGTGAGAGAGAAAGCCCTCTTGTTCTAAGACATGCTTACTTTGGTGTCAAACTTGAAAACTGCCTTATCAATGCCTGGAGTTTCCTTTAGAGAAAACAGAACTCTTTCTTTCATCCGGGTAACTCAATTACAAAGTACAGTAGTTCTGCATGGTGGGTAGGGAGTAGGCAACAAAATCTTATACTTAAAACACAGTCTATTCTTTAGTGAAACACAACACGTCTTTAAATACAGAACATTAACCTGCTTGATCTGTTGCTATTAGGACTAGATGTAGGAAGTTCTTTTAAGATATTTCATAGATATTTTAATTTGTCTACTTGGAAAGAAAATGTATATATACATTAATGACACATATGCAGTTACAATAATGAAGGTCTGAAGTCAATATTGAAATATTTGAAGAAATTTTAATGTTAATTATATTCTGTTTTTAAAGAAAAAGAAGTTCACACATATGAAAAGAAATAAGTAAAAAACGTTTGTGCTTCAAGAGGAACTTCTTACACATATGATTCTTTTCTAAGAGCAATTGCACTAATTTCCAAAGTACCCTGTTAGATGGCTCTCTTTTGGCCAACTTCTCCCTTTGTCCACTTCATCCATAAAACTTTTGCCTGGTTCTTGTACTTCTGACCCTTGACTGAGATGATCTGACTAAGGTCTATTGGGAGGACTGAGTTTAAGGTTCTAGTGAAAAAACAAAAATTTTGGGCTCTGTTTCCCTTTTATAACCCTGGTCAATGTCATCTTGTGTTTCCTAGGTTGTTACTTGCAAAGAAGACTTTTAGGGAAGGGGTTATCACATGTGCTTGGGATTCATATTCCTAGAACAGCACAGTCAGGTATACCAATGGTGATAACTAATTCCCAGTTAAGGAGGGAAGAGCTCCTACACATGCACCAACCCTCATCAGAGATGCAATTACATGTGTATCAAGGCTGACATTTGGCATCATGTTTCATAGTAAGCATCCACCCAGAGGGCTGCAGATTTCTTCAAGGCTCTGTGGAAGGAATAAACAAGATCATCAGGAGGTGAGACTGTAATGTTAAGAAAGCTCTTAAATGGAATTTGCTCCTCTGCCTGGTTCAGAACAATGTTGTCATTTTCAGCTACATCTGATAAATGTCATCCTCTGTTGACCAATTCTGTTGACTGAATTATTTTTAGCAGGTGAATTCACCTTTCCTTTATGGAGAACATTGAGATTTTCTTTCATTTTATTCTTTTCTGAGCCTATATACCTGTAAATCCACCCATCCTATATTTATCTATCAACCCTATTTTATAATATGGAGGATATTTTTCTAGGCTCTGGTGGTACAGCAATGAGTAGGGTAGATGTGAGTCCTGTCCACATGAAATTCCTGGTCTAGCTTGGGAGATACATATTAAATAATTTATTACCCAATATGTTATTTGAATACAATTGTGATAAACTTCACAAATGAAGAGAACCAGGTGCTGCAAGAGCAGGCGACTAATTTAGTTTTGGGGTCAGAGGAGATAGACATGAGGAAAAGGCATTTGAATTGAGCCTTGGAGAAAGAATGGCAATTGACAAGATGATGTCAAGGGAGGTGGAGGTTTGGGGGAACATTCCAGGCAGAAGAAAAAGTGGCAAAAGGATAAGACAACTAGGGAAGGGAGTTTCACGGCAACTTAAGGTAGGCCAATTGCACTAATTTCTGGAGGAAATTATCTGGGGGACAGAGAAAGAGGAGTGTGGTGGACAGTCTGAAGCTGGAGCACTGGTCAGGGATCAGATCAGATCAGGCCTGGCCTTGTTGGCCTCATTTGAGATGTTTTTTTTTTTTTTTTTTCAATCCTAAACTAAAGAGAAAGTTATTAAACCCAGATTACTGGTTGTTAATTTAACCAGCACAACATTCTTTAGGAAACTGTATGTGAATGCCTAAGGATAAGTATGGATTTTCAGTTTCTGCATGCCTCACTACTCTTAATTAATCACCCCAGCCTGAGCTGCACATTTATACCCCACTGGACCCTGCAGGCTTCTAAATTTGCAACACTGGACCAGATGATCTGACAGTTCCTCCCACTACTTAAATTCTAACACATGTAGGAAGCTCTGTGGGGGATAGAAAGGCAAATAATATACAGCCTTGATTTTAAGAAATTTGAAATTTAGTAGGACAGTAAAGCATTTTCACTAAGCTGTACCTATAGGTAAAAGGTCAGTATTATCATTATTTTGTTGTTGTTGATACGGTTCCCTATGGTGCCGCGTAGCCACACTGAGCACACAGGTGACCCTTAATAAATGGTTGTTAAATGAATGATTCATAAGCCACTGAATAGTCTGGGGAGTGGCAGTAAAGACAAATGAGAGCTGTGAGCCAAGAGAAATTATGTTATTACCTGACAATATCTCCAAACGCCCTCAACATGGGTTTATTCACATACTGCAATCCATGCTTGGCACACAGTGACCTCACCAGAGGCGCCACTTTGTGATAATTATGGCGTGGCATTGTGGGGAACAGACTGGAGAAAGATACAAGAGATATAAAATTTAGACCTAAAGAAAAACTCTGAGTTTTCTTCCTTCTGTTACCAAATAAAACTATATCAGCAATGCAGACCCAACCTTGACCTTGCACAATACGGCTGTTCTGGGAAGTTAAAAACCTCCTGCCAAAATATCCTTATCTCTTAACACCTCTGCAAGCCAAGTGGGTGGTGAATGTTTGGGAAATGCTAACAAAGTAAATGTTATCTTCATTGAATATGTTTATATTTTGCCATGTCAAATGAAGGTATGGATTGTCTATCACTTTGAATTACCTAGGGGAGCTGAAGATACCCCTGTCCCCCATCTCTGTCTCTGTCTTTGTCTCTCTCTTTCTCTCTATCCATCTGATATGGTTTGACTGTACCCCCACCCAAATCTCAACTTGAATTGTATCTCCCATATTCCCACGTGTTGTGGGAGGGACCTAGGGGAAGGTAACTGAGTCATGGGGACCAGTCTTTCCCCTGCTATTCTCATGATAGTGAATAAGTCTCATGGGACATGATGGGTTTATCAGGGGTTCCTGCTTTTCTTCTTCCTCATTTTCTCCTGCTTCTTCCTCATTTTCTCTTGCCACTGCCATGTAAGAAGTGCCTTTTGCCTCCCGCCATGATTCTGAGTCCTCCCCAGCCATTTGGAACTGTAATTCCAATTAAATGTCATTTTCTTCCCAGTCTCGGGTATGACTTTATCAGCAGTGTGAAAACAGACTAATATAGTAAATTGGAACCGGAAGTGGGATGTTGCTGAAAAGATACCTCAAAATGTGGAAATGACTTTGGAACTGGGTAACAGGCAGAGGTTGGAACGGTTTGGATGGCTCAGAATAAGACAGGAAAATGTGGGAAAGTTTGGAACTTCCTAGAGACTTATCGAATGGCTTTGCCCAAAATGCTGATAATGATATGGACAATAAGGTCCAGGCTGAGGTGGTCTCAGATGAAGATGAGGAACTTATTGGGAATTGGAGTAAAGGTGACTCTTGTTATGTTTTAGCAAAGAGACTAGGCGGAGGTTCCCAAACACCATCTAACTCCTATCCCATGAATAGATGAATATTCAATAAGTTCTAGTCATGGCATATAGCAAAAAGTCCTGGGATAGGAATAAGGAGTGAGGAGATATGGATTTTTATTTAAGATTTTCCACTAGTCACCCAGGTGACTTTCCTGGGTTTTAACTTAATCTTTGATAAAATGTGAATAATAGTCCTTCCTTGTTTTGCTGAGACTTTTAAGAACTAACATGAAGGAAAGGATGAGAAAATTAAATGAGCAGGTGTAAGAGCTCTTTCCTTCTCTGACTATCCAAAATATGGCTTAGGTAAAGAGGATGTGGACAGTCTCTCCCTTGAATATTCCGGAGATCAACTCTCCAAGTGTTACCATTTTTTCTTTATTTTATGGCCACCTAACTGACTCATTGGCAAAGTATTGCCAATACCATTTGAATATTGCGTCAGGGAATGGGTTTTATCATTGATTATTTTATAACTTCAGATCTAAAGAGATAGATATTTAAATTAAATTTCAACACAACTTGGTTACCCACTTCTCAAGCCTGCAGGTATCTGAAAATGGAATCACAGGCACTTTTCCAAGATTTCACTCTATTTACTCACAATCTTTCCTTCCTTCCTTCCTTCCTTCCTTCCGTCCGTCCGTCCTTCCTTCCTTCCTTCCTTTTCTTTCTTTCTCTTTCTTTCTTTCCTTTCTTCCTTCCTTCCTTTCTTTCTTCCTTCCTTTTTTTTTCTTTCTTTCTTTCCTTTCTTTCCTTCCTTCCTTTCTTTCTCTCTCTCTTTCTTGTTTTCTTTCTCTTTCTGTCCTTCCTTCCTTCCTTCCTTCCTTCCTTCTTTCCTTCCTTCCTTCCTTCCATCCTTCCTTCCCTTTCTTCCCCATCATTGCTAATAGAAAGATAGCAGCCTGTAGAAAATGCTGGTTCTCTGAGACCCTGAGCCTAGGGCCTGATCTGGATTATATATGGGGATGTTATAAGTGACTGCACTTGCCCTACTAAGGACTATTCTTGTTACTCACTGGTGCTCAATTTGGAAGTTCAGGTGCCCAGTGAACCAGTCATTGAAAAAGGACTGTTCAATATTACAGGTGGCCAAGACCTGCAAAGAAAAAGCTTATATTAGTTATAAATGAGCCCAAGTGTCAAACAAAGAAAATATTGGAGACCACCTTTGCAAAATTATGACAGTAAGATAAATCTGACATAGTTGACTACATCTTGCTTCTGATCTCCAAGCTGTCCTTTGTAATTCCTGGGTGTAGGCTAAGCTGACTTTGAGAGGAACTTATTTTGTAGTTTAACCTTAAAGCAAGGATGATAGTAGCCCTTCCCAAAACTAAACTGCTTTTGTATAACTAATAAAAGGCCATAATGTTAGGATTGTGAGAGGGGCCTGAATTCTGCTAAGATGGAGGCATAGTTTCTATAATTCTTTACTGCTCAGGAGTCATGCGGCCAGATGTGACAGGATTTGTGACTTTCCCAATTGTGCTTGTAGATAACATCACTATTATAGAACCTAAGATTAATTTTTTGAGATGTTTTTCAGACTGTCCCCACTTGGACCCATGCATGACTCATGACTTGATGGGTTCTGTGGCCCCACCCGAAGGTGGACTGAGAACATTCTCCACACCCCTATAATTTCTTCCCCAACCGTCAACTAGCACCCATTTCCTAGCCCTCTTCCCATCAAATTGTCCATTGATACAGTTTGCCTGTGTCCGCACTCAAATCTCATCTTGAATTGTAATCCCCATAATCCTCGTGTGTCAAGGGAGGGACCAGGTTCTAAATCAGTGTGGTTAGAAAGATTCTCCCCGAGGAACTCCATCATTACCTGAGTGCTGAGCCAGTCTCGGTTCTCCTCTGTGCTCATTCTCATTGGTATGTGGCTCATCTGGGTAACATATGCAATCCAAGGACTTTCAAGAAACCTTTTGGAGGAATAAAAGGAGGAAGTGATGACTGTTTAGGGTGTTTCAGTAGCAAGCACTGGGCTTGCATAACCCCTGGTAGAACTGGTTGAGCACTGGAGGAAATGAAAGAGACTCAAAGTTTCCAGTAAAATGGTGATCTTTCTTTTTCTTCTCTGAAAGACCTTTATATCAAGAGATGACACACTAAGCATTCAGCCACATGACTGCCAAATGTATGGATGCAGAACCTCTAAAGTTTTCTGTAGCTCTAGTGCAAAGATCAAAACCACTAGGGAAATTTAAGGGCACATGCAAACTGGTTGACAGCCTGGGCTTTGTCGTCAGATAAGAGCTGGATTCAAGTTCTGTTTCGGCACTGGCCTTGGCTGTTACTTGCTCTTACATGCCCTTGGGCCTATGATTTAATCTCCTTAAACTTCAGTTCCTTTAGCAGAAAAATGAGCATGATACTATCTACACTGCAGCGTTGTGTGAGGATTACATCAAATAAGATAAAGCATGTAAAGCCTTTAACAAAGTGTCTGATGCATAGTAGCTATCATTATTCTTATAATTATTTAGGACTTAGAATAACTTGACAACAGAATGAGGGAGGATTACACTGGAAAAGTGGAGAGGACTATTCAAACAAAAATGCATTGGGAAAACCTCTAGTCATAAAATAACTTAAAAAAAAATTCCTTCCCTGTCATTCTTTGGTAGGGATTACTATGTCTACCTAGATTACAGTTTTAAGGATTTAGGATTCAATTGAAATGCTTCCTTTAAGAATCCAGGACGTGGGTAAAAATGGGGATTGGGCAAATTTTTTTTTGCAAAGGGCTCGTCTTATTCAACTATTTGAACTATTTTTTTTTCACATTTGCTTAAAAACACCTCAGCTGCAAGAAATGGGGCATGATGTCATAATCTAATCTGTTTTAAAACTGATGACAAATAGCTCTGATGGGGAAGGATCTGACAAGGATCATTTGGATTACCGAAATAAAATAGTATTCTTACTTGACCAAATAGATGAGCAACACAGTCCCAAAGATTCCATAGTATGGGCCAAATGTGATGAAATATCGGATGTAAAAGCTGCTAACCCAGGCGATGTCCTGCAGAGAAAAGCACTTGAAAGTTATACACCCTGAACATGATTTCATTTCTGCTTCATTGGCTTGGGGTCCCTTCACATTCTGGCTGAATCTTATGCCTTGTTATTCAAGGAAGCTATATCTGGAGAGGACACAGCATTTTCATTTTCCCTCTTCTACTTGGTCTAGTTTCAGAGAATGAGCCACATTACTCACCACCCAATATCTTCGAAGGTACATCACTTGCATTGATTGCAGGTTGAAATATACTGGCATAAGGAGTGGGAGCCCAACTGAAATAGAAGAAAAAATGATGCTAAATAAATAAACAGAATGTGTTCATGTGTATTTAATGTTTAGCTCCCACACAGAAGTGAGAACATGCAGTGTTGGGTTTTCTGTTCCTGCGTTAGTTCACCTAGGATAATGGCCTCCATCTCCATCCATATTGCTGCAAAGGACATTATCTTATTCTTTTGAATGGATGTGTAGTATTCCATGGTGTATACGTACCACATTTTATCTAAGTAGTCTACCATTGATGTGCATTTAGGCTGATTCCATGTCTTAGCTATTGTGAGTAGTGATGCCTCCTGAGACACACAATTTATCTGTATAACAAACGTGCACATGTACCCTTGAAACTAAAATAAAAGTAAAAAGAGGAAAATCACCTGTAATCTTACTACCCAAATATTACCATAAACATTTTGAATATAGATATATTAATATATGTTCTAAAAATTGCTATTATGCTACCTATAGTACTGTTTGGTACACTACCTTTAAAAATAAAGCATATCCTGACCATCTTCCCATTTCTCTAAATATTTTCCAGCATCCTTTTTTTTTTATTATACTTTAAGTTTTGGAATACATGTGCAGAACGTGCAGGTTTGTTACATAGGTCTACACGTGCGTTGGTGGTTTGCTGCACCCATCAACCCATCATCTATCTACATTAGGTTGTTCTCCTAATGTTATCCCTCCTCTAACCCCCAACCCACCAACAGCCCCTGGTGTGTGATGTTCCCCTTCCTGTGTCTGTGTGTTCTCATTGTTTAACTCCCACTTATGAGTGAGAACATGCGGTGTTTGGTTTTCTGTTCCTGTGTTAGTTTGCTGAGAATGATGGTTTCCCGCTTCATCCATGTCCCTGCAAAGGACATGAACTCATCCATTTTTATGACTGCATAGCTTTCCATGGTATATATGTGCCACATTTTCTTTATTCAGTCTAACATTAATGGGCATTTGGGTTGGTTCCAAGTCTTTGCTATTGTGAATAGTGTTACAATAAACATATGTGTGGATTTATAATCCTTTGGGTATATCCCCAGTAATGGGATTGCTGGGTCAAATGGTATTTCTGGTTCTACATCCTTGAGGAATCACCACACTGTCTTCCACAATGATTGAGCTAATTTACACTCCCACCAACAGTATAAAAGCATTTCTATTTCTCCACATCCTCTCCAGCATCTGTTTTTTCCTGCCTTTTTAATGATCACCATTCTAACTGGCATGAGATGGTATCATATTGTGGTTTTCATTTACATTTCTCTAATGACCAGTGATTATGAGTTTTTTTTCATATGTTTGTTGGCTGCATAAATGTCTTCTTTTGAGAAGTGTCTGTTCATATCCTTTGCCCACTTTTTGATGGGGTTGCTTGTTTTTTTCTTGTAAATTTCTTTAAGTTCCTTATAGATTCTGGATATTAGCCCCTTGTCAGATGGCTAGATTAAATAAATTTTCTCCCATTCTGTAGGTTGCCTGTTCACTCTGATAATAGTTTCTTTTGCTCTGCAGATGCTCTTTAGTTTAATTAGATCCCATTTGTCTATATTGGCTTTTGTTGCCATTGCTTTTGGTGTTTTAGTTATGAAGTCTTTGCCCATGCCTATGTCCTGAATTGTTTTGCCTAGGTTTTCTTCTAGGGTATTTATGGTTTTAGGTCTTATGTTTAAGTCTTTAATCCATCTTGAGTTAATTTTTTATAAGGTATAAGGAAGGGGTCTAGTTTCAGTTTTCTGCATATGGCTAGTCAGTTTTCCCAATACCATTTATCAAATAGGGAATCCTTTCCCCACTGCTTGTTTTTGTCAGGTTTGTCAAAGATCAGAAGGTTGTAGATGTGTGACATTATTTCTGAGCCTCTGTTCTGTTCCATTGGTCTATATATCTGTTTTGGTACCAGTACCATGCTGTTTTGGTTACTGTAGTATAGTTTGGTATACTTGTAGTATAGTTTGAAGTCAGGTAGCATGATACCTTCAGTTTTGTTCTTTTTGCTTAGGATTGTCTTGGCTATATGGGCTTTTTTTTGTTCCGTATGAAATTTAAACTAGTTTTTTTCTAATTCTGTGAAGAAAGTCAGTGGTACCTTGATGGGGATAGCATTGAATCTACACATTACTTTGGGCAATATGGCCATTTTCATGATATTGATTCTTCCTATTCTTGAGCATGGTATATTTTTACATTTGTTTGTGTCCTTCTTTATTTCCTTGAGCAGTGCTTTGTAGTTCTACTTGAAATGATCCTTTATGTTCCTTGTAAGTTGTATTCCTAGGTATTTTCTTATCTTTGTAACAGTTGTGAATGAGAGTTCACTCATGATTTGGCTTTCTGTTTGTCTATTATTGGTGTATAGGAATGCTTGTGGTTTTTGTATATTGATTTTGTATCCTGAGACTTTGCTGAAGTTGCTTATCAGTTTAAGGAGATTTTGGGCTGAGATGATGGGGTTTTCTAAATATACAATCATGTCATCTGCAAACAGAGACAATTTGACTTCCTCTGTTCCTATTTGAATATGCTTTATTTCTTTCTCTTGCTTGAATGCCCTGGCCAGAAACTTCCAATACTATGTTAAATAGGAGTGGTGAGAGAGGTTGTCTTGTGCCAGTTTTCAAAGGGAATGCTTCCAGCTTTTGCCCATTCAGTATGATATTGGCTGTGTGTTTGTCGTTAATATCTCTTATTATTTTGAGATACTTTCCATTAATACCTAGATTATTGAGAGTTTTTTTAGCATAAAGGGGTGTTGAATTTTATTGAAGACCTTTTCTGCATCAATTGAGACAGTCATGTGGTTTTGTCATTGGTTCTGCTTATGTGATGGATTACATTTATTTATTTGTGTATGTTGAACCAGCCTTGAATTCCAACTTAATTGTGGTGAATAAGCTTTTTGATGTGCTGCTGGATTTGGTTTGCCAGTATTTTAGTAAGAATTTTCGCATTGATGTTCATCAGGGGTACTAGCCTAAAATCTCATTTTGTTGTTCTGTCTCTCCCTGTTTTTGGTATTAGGATGATCCAGCATCTGTTTTGTGATTACTGTGTTGTATTTTTATAACGTACTTAATACATTTATTTAATAAATCCAGTAAATGTATTTAATTAAAAAATGTGACCCCAATGCAAGTGAGCAGGAGTCTATCTCCTTAATGCAGCATTCCTGGAATGCTGGCCCCAAGGAAAGATGCAAGTGGAGATCCACGGCCCCTTCCTGGACTGCAATGGGCATTTCAAGTCTAAAAGACGGGGCTAAGAATTAGATCAGTAGCTCCAGGTTCAAGCTGCCTCAAAGAAGCTAGGAAAGCTTGGGAGATTTGAGTCATTTTTGATGCAGGCATCCCTGAACAGCTTCTGCTACCAGCTTTCAAGTGTTTTCAAGGTCCTTGGAGTCCTTCAGTCTCCCTGGATCTTTGGGATTTAGCCCCATTATAGTGTGTTGAGGTGTCAGAGATGAAGAAGGTATACTCGTTTCCTGGTAAGAGTTACTTACCTGCCTTTCCCCCAGCATCACTGAGGCTTCCCAGGCACAGAGGATCCTTAAGGAGATCCTCTGGCTTTTGACAAAGGCTGTCTCCCTGGTTAAACTTTAGTTAGGATCCTTTGAGCCCTCTTCTCAACTAGGCCTCATCCTTGGCCTACGAGAATTGCAGACTCTCAGCACAAATGATTTCATCCACTCTCCACACTAAGAAACTTGAACAAACACTAGCATAGTTCCTCAAAGCTCAAGGCTATCTCTCTGGGATAATCCCAGCATCCTTGAAGTTTTTACCTGAGAAAGCTCAGGGCTGCCAAAATAATTTACTGTTTATTCTGGCAAGTGTCTGACTATAGGCACCTGACACCCCTTTTTATAGAGCATTTACTTTAGGACACTGACAATTATAAATCCTTTGTGTCTTCTTTTGAGATGTAGCTTCTACACTCCAGAAATGTATTTCTCAAGGGCCTGGTAACAATCTCTTTGAAATGTAGTCATCAAGAAGGATGGGGCTCTTATCTGTCAGTCTGTTTGGGAGGATAGGAGCCTAACTTTGATAAGTACCAGTTAGCAGACACAGACAGCCTGGACAAATCTTACCAACCAGCTCCTCCACCCCCACCCCATCTCCCAGTGTCTTTCAGTACTTTTCCTTTAGCATGCTCCAACATTTAAAAAGCCTCTCTCTCACTTTTGCGTCAGGAGAATTAAGTTCGGTTTATGGTGAAGTCTCTCTCCCCTAGTGCGATAGCCTGAATATGATTTGTCTTGCTGCCTTTAACAACTGTCTGGTTTTGTTTCTTTTTGACAGTTTGAGTACGACTCATTTGTACCCGAGATGTTAAGCTAGCATTTGCCGGGCAAGGCCACAATAAAGCAGCTCTTGGTGGTGGTAGGGTGGTTTGTGAAGTGGGCATTTTGCAGTGAATTCACACCATTCCCTCATTTCTCATAAGGTAAGGGCATATTGTCCCACTTCAGACAGGGGAGGTAAACACATGTTTCTCAGGAGAGTTCAGAGAAGAAACTCCAACAGGGTTTTCTTTTCCAGACACACATCTAGTCAGGCTGGGAATCAGCTACCTTTTAAAAATGGGGCACCAATGTCCTCATTCCTCTTTTAGATTTTGCAAGAGCAGCGGGGCAGGTGACGAGTGCAGGATGGGGAAGGCTGAATTCCCACTGTAGAGGATCCAGCAGTGATGGTCGACCTCACACTTCAAAAAATTTGCCCCCTGCTATCTTCCTCTGGCATGATAGGGGTGGCCATTTGTGGCCTACACGTGGGCAAATCAGATCATCTGCAACTATGTTTCTCAAGCCCAGCACTGCTGACAATTTGGGTGAGATGATTATTTTTATGAGGGGCTTCCTTTGCATCGCAGAATGTTTAGCAGCATCCCTGGCTTCTATCCACTGACTGCCAATACCTTCCCTCCTCCTCTGTTGCGATAACCAAAAAAATATCTTTTGATATTGCCCCGGGAGGCAAAATTGCTCTGGTTGAGAACAACTGGACTACAGGAAATGTTTGGTTCTTTCCCTGATTTTGGTTTATTCCCCAGATACATGTTTTAGTTGGGCAGATTTGGGGGTTTCTTGAAAGCTTTTTTTGTGAGCTGTTATGAGTTTGATATTGGTTAAGAGCAGTCTTTGCTTATGATGTTCTTTTACTGGTATCAGATTTACGCAGCTACCTGTATTTTCCTTCAAACTTGACCCACATGCCCACACTCAGATATATATGTCTCATGCCTTCCCACAGCTATATGCAGGTCATGGGAGCAGACAGCTTTCTTCCACACAAGAGCACTGCAGGTGCCCTTTGTTCCCCGGCCTCTCCATTTCTGGTGTCACACTGTCAATGCTTCAGATTTATCTCCCCATCTCTACTTCCTCCCTACCCAAACACCATTATTCTTTTCTCTTGATAGATGTTTGGTCTTTCCAGAATGACAGTCCTAGATGCAGGTGCCTTGACTGGCAGCCTGGCTTCCCTCCCTCACTGGGTATCTCCCCTCCTTCCCCATCCAACTCTCAGAGTGATGAGGTGCTGCTTAAAAAGGCTGTTTATTTTTCCATTTCCCTTTGCAGATTTCCACCCCAGGGAGTCTGAAATAAGACATGCTGCTTTGCTCAATAGCAATAGGACGTGGGCTGGTCTCTGTGAGAGCATTCCAATTGTGACTTCTGCCTTGACAAGTACTTGCTTCAAGGAAATGGGATATAAGGAATGTGGCTCTGGGAGACTCACCCATGTAGAAGTACAGGTGCTGCTTTTCATAGTTGATGTATTTGATTTTCTTCTTGCCGTACTGAATGGAGAGAGAATAAAACAAAAATAAGAGACCATACTTCTGGTCATCACACTCAAGGATGCATATGTGTGTGTGTGTGTGTATGTGTGTGTGTGTATGTGTGTGTGTGCACATGCTTGTGTGTGTCTAAAATCTTTATGGAAAGAGCCATCTGATCAGTGTTCATTAGCTTTCAAGTCTGAGGCACTAGAAGAACCAGAACCAGGATGGGAGGAAGAAATATTGTGGCCTCGTCTTGCTTTCATTATATGTGGGTAATTCTATCACAAATGGAATATTCCATTGGACTGTAGGAATTGTATCATTTTTTTGTTCCTGTGGGAATCATTTTGATTTTTTTTTTCTCTTTATGTGAGGTGGAATGGTCACTGAAATGGGACATTTCTGAGTTTTTCTTGTTCTTCTTCAACTATGGCATTTAGGATTCTGCTCCATATTCATTCATTCATCCAACAGATGTGTGATTCATTCATCACAGTCAAGAATTTTCTTTTAAATTCATTCATCCAAAAGATACTAAATGGTAATATGATAAAATATATAGTCATGGCCCCTCCTGTCTGTCTCATCTTTCTTCTTTTATGTTCTCATCATGGAAGTCACACTATCATTTATTATTTTAGCCCATGATGATAGTACATATAATATTTATTATACATTATATAATTACTATATAATAATATAATTATAATATTACATTCACTACTGAGAATTTGATTCATTTTCTAGGAGTCTCCTTAGTTAATCTGGCATATATTCAGGGCACAAAGGCAGCAAATGCTTTGAAAGGAGGATAGAAGTAATGGTTATATCTCTAGTATCTAGCAGACACTCAATAAATGTTTATTGAAGGAATTAATGAATAAATGATAATTCACACTCACTCTGTATTTTTGCCTATGTTCATTCAGTTAAAACTCTGGGCAGTGTTTGACTCTTGCTTTCTCCTTTCCTTTGATATCTTTCCTCCTATGTATAGATTTCTTGTATTTGGATTTTGTAGTTGGTCCTTCCTTCTCTTATTGTCAAAAATTATAAGAAATATCATAGTGATAAGGTAATAATAGCTATTTGCATTTATTCCTAAACCTTTAAACATTTTAGTAGCAGGAAACATGGTAAAGGGACTAGTTGGAAGTGTGTGGGAGTGAACAAACCATAATGGACAGATTGTGAGTATCAAAAGGAGGATTCTGTCTTCCAGGATATAAGCACGGGACATAGAAGATATTAATAAATGCTTGCTGAAGAAACTTAACATTTGAATAAAGTATTAGAAAGGCAGACAGTAAAGAAGGAAGAAAGGAAAAGCCCAGGGCTGATTAGAAATGTTTTTGATGTGAAACTACTGAATTTTAGAGTTTAAATAAATAATTTTAAATAATGTCTTGTGAGTAGCTTTGAAATTTTATTACATAGAACTCTCATGTTTTAGGGATATCCCAGGAGCAGCTTGAGAACTTGGAGAGGTAACCTCTATTGTTTTTGAAGAAGTAGCATGGGTACTGAAAATAGCTCTACAGAAGGCATGTCGAACTCAAGCTGCTTCACGAACTTCCCTGAGACAAACTCCCTTGCTCTGTAGGAGGAAGGGGAGATATGAGGGGACAACTGGAGAAATCAATACTTTACAATTCTAATGATGATCATAGAAACCCACAAACATCAGGGAAGTCCAATGTGTTTGCGGAATCATTGTCAAAAGCAACTGATTTGTGATTACATCACCAAAATTTTTTCAAAGCAAGAGACCTTATTTTCTCTTTCAGCTAGGGAAAAGGGTGAGTCTCCCAAAGATGAAAAAAACTACTTTCAAGAAGTTGCACAATATTTGGTTAATGGACCAGACAGGCAACAACCGAGGAGGCTACACCGTTTTATTTTTAAAGACTCCTAGTTTTTCTAGGAGATAGTGACCTCTTCCCAAGTATCTGACTCTCAGGTACCTCACTGGAGGGGAGGCACTTTTCTTTGGTTATCCTTATACCTCCTTTGCTTAAGAAAGACTCCCTCCTCACTTTGGGAGGCTGAGGCGGGCGGATCACGAGGTCAGGAGATCAAGACCATCCTCGCTAACACAGTGAAATCTCGCCTCTACTAAAAAAGAATATAAAAAATTAGCTGGGAGTGGTGGCGGGCACCTGTAGTCCCAGTTACTCGGGAGGCTGAAGTAGGAGAATGGCATGAACTCAGGAGGTGGAGCTTGCAGTGAGCTGAGATTGCGCCACTCTACTCCAGCCTGGGCGACAGAGCGAAACTCTGTCTCAAACAACAAAAAAAGACTCCCTCCTAAAAATCTTGGTAATTGATGTTGTCCTTTACATGATGGTTTCAAGTTGAAGTTTTAAAAAGTAATCATTAACTGAGAAATTCTGAAGATGACTTTCCCCTTCCTTTTTCTGTTGTTTAAGAAGCTCAAATTACAGGTGAGACCTCTAGCTCTCTTCCATGGCATTTGGGCTGTAGTTCATGTATAAATGCACCAAAATGAACATGAACGAAATATAACAGCATAGAGTCTTCTAACTGGGCTAGAATTAGTTGAGATAACTAGGTACGTGAATGTACGTGACCTAGTGCTTATTGAATATATTGACCTATATTCTCTCAGTGAATGTTTCTCCACACCCTGTTTAAACCTCAGACAGTCATTGCAACCCCAGTCATCTGGTTCCACGATCTAACACTGGCTTGTATTGCCTCAGAGAAAATGACAGGCACTGGGCAGGGACCCATCTGTCACTGAGATTGCTCAAACAGAGTAATGTGGATTCTCATATTTCCTGCTGTGGGAGGTTGGACTGGATGATCTTTAAGGTCATAGACTTAAAGGTTACGACTCTAAATGCCCTCGTATTCTTACAGCCCCAGATTCAGTTATTTCAAATCTATATTTTGAGCCTAAAAGAAGGAGAAATGTTGTCAGATTGTGTGTGAAGCCAGAATTTCTGGCTTGATTTTTCCAAGGCAAGGCTGTAAGCCTTTCCAGGAACCACTTCCAGGAACATTTCCCCAGTGCTCAAGATTTCTAAGTGTACCTTGACAGGTTGTGAATCTCCGAGCAGAAAAAGTGGGCCCATGTCAATATCCGGGTCTTTGGGGTAGATGTTCGGCTTTACGTGATGTTGAAAGTGCCGGTAATTCCACCAGTTTGCTGACAGGCCCTGAGGAGAAGAGAGGGCTCGTTACTTGAAATAATTCTTTCCTGAAATACCCTTCACTCTCAGAGTTTTCTGCATGCATCCCCCAAGTCAAAATAAGACATCTGAGTTTCTCTAGCTTGCCTCCACTGCTGAGCCACAGCATGACTCATCGGACAGAGGCACTCATAGCTTACAAAGAAATAAATCTCTGATCCAGAAACTCAACTTTAGGCTAAAAGTCTTGGTAATGAAAATCATAAAAGCTGGTTGAAAAGAAATGTTTTCCCATCCTTCTCTTATTTGATCTTCATTAAAAAAAAAAGCTGAAGGTAGGTGGGGCAGAGAGAATTGTTTCTATTTTACATATAAAGAAGACTTAGCTCCGAGACTTTAATTAGTTCTGGGGAAAAAGAAGCGGCCCCAGGTATCTTACTTCAATGAGTGTTTCAAAGAATCAAGAATCTGAAGTGATCTCCTTGGGAGGCTTGGCTCAGATCCTTGCATGTCTCGGTTTCAATGCTCTCATACAAAAATAAATGAGAATAACAAGATTTTAGCTGATGCCAAGCTTGAGTCACCTCTGATTAGGTTGTTTGTGATTTTTTTTTTTTTTTTTTTACCATAGAAAGTCTGAAATTTTAATAGAGCAAATAATTGGGAGGCACATCAACCTAGTTACATATACCGAATGTATAAATACTGCTGCATGTTTTGGGCAAGTCACCCAACCTCTTTGAGGCTCAGTTCTATCTCCGGTAAATAACATAAGCACATTTACGTCTGTGGGTGGTCTGGGGAGTTATGAGATGACGTATGTAAAATGTTGGCATGCTGGGATATTCAGTTTTTCCTCCTTTATGTTAATCATTTACAGAAGAATGAGCAGCCGTAGTAGTTTTTTATTGCATATTTGACATAGCTTAGCAAGCAGTCTATGCATGTTCTAGTCCGCTCTGTCCAATGCAATAGCCATTAGCACATGTGGCTATTGAGCAACTGAGCACTTGAAAAGCGACCGAATAAAGACAAGCCGTAAGCATAAAACACCTACTGGATTTTGAAGATTCAGTATGAAAAAAGGAATGTAAAATAGTTCATCAATAATTTTTACATTGATTACATGTTGAAATAATACTATTTTGAATATATGTGGAGTAATAAAGTTACCTTTTAAATATGACTATTAGAAAATTTGAAATGCAAGTGTCATTTTAACGTGGTGCATTGTATTTCTGTAGGAGCATGCTGGTCTGGACACCAAACATCTGTAGTAGAAGGGGATGGCTCTTTATTTGAATATCTGTGAGCATTAGCATTGTGTTTCCATAGTCTTCTTTGCAGTTGTTTCTTAGCAACCCCCATCTCATTCCCAATTAACATTCCCTAACCTTCTTGCAACCCTCCAGCCTGAGTCTATATCCTGAATCATATGCCTGAATGGGGACTTTCCAAATATATATGTGTGTGTGTGTGCGTGTGTGTGTATATGTGTGTGTGTGTGTGTGTATATATGTGTGTGTGTGTACATATATATATATATATATATGGATCTCTCTCTCTCCTCCTCACCCAGAAGAGGGGGGGGGGACAGAAATTGTTAAGTATAGTTTGTGACACGTTGAGCTTGAGTATCATGAAATATTATATATTATATATATGTGATATATATATATTATATATATGTGATATATATATATTATATATATATATATGGATAGTTCATGATGCTTAAGCCTCAACATGTCACAAACTATACTTAACAATTTCTGTCCCCCCTTCTAGGGCCCCATCAGTGCTCTGTGTTTCTTCCATCAAATTGCATACGATGGGTACAAAGTTACAGCTAGACAGGAAAAATGAGTTTGGCATTCTATTACACATTAGGGCAAGGGTCCCCAACCCCCAGGCCACGGACTGGTACCAGTCTGTGGCCTGTTAGAAACTGGGCTGAATAGCAGAAGGTGAGTGGCAGGCAAGCAAGGGAAGCTTCATCTGTATTTACAGCTGCTCCCCGTCATTCTCATTACAGCCTGAGCTCTGCCTCCTGTGAGATCAGCTGCAGCATTAGATTCTCACAGGAGCACGAATCCTGTTGTAAACTGCACATGTGAGGGATCTAGGTTACATGCTCCTTATGAGAATCTAATGCCTGATGATCTGTCACTGTCTCCCATCACCCCAGATGGGACCCAGTAGTTGCAGGAAAACAAGCTCGGGGCTCCCGCTGATTCTGCATTATGGTAAATTGTATAATTATTTCATTATTACAATCTAATAATAATAGAAATAAAGTGCACAATAAATGTAATGTGTTTGAATCGTCCTGAAACCACCCCCCACCCACTGGTCCATGGGAAAATTGTCTTCCATGAGACTGGTCCCTGGTGCCAGAAAGATTGAGGCCCACTGCAGTAGGGTGACTGTAGCTAACAATCAGGTATTATATATTTCAAGATAGCTAGAAGAGAGGATACTGAATGTTACAACAAAGAAATGATAAATGTTTAAAGTGATGAATATGCTAACAACCTTGACTTGATCATTATACAACGTACATACGCATTGAAACATCACACTGTACCTCATAAATACATACAATTACTATGTGTCGATTATAAATAAAAATAAAATAAAATGATAAAAGATTTTTTAAATTGCATATGAGCCACTTACTCTTATAATTGTGTATTTATTCACACATTCATTATTTATTTTGAATTATGTCCTAGGTGTCAGATAGTTACTGAGCTAGGCATTTGGAACATGAAGATAAACATGATAAAATGAGGTTTCCACACTTAGGAAACATATAATCCAATGGAAGGAGTAGATAACTGAACAAGGACAATGTGATGAGATTTTCTCCTTTTCAACTAAGTCCCCTGAGAGCCAATGTTTGGTCTCTTCCGCCCGCTGACTGTACTCTTTTAGCCAATGACTATCTGTGGTGGTGAGCAGTAATGTGGGAGACTGGCTTTGATTCATGATACTACGGGGAGCAGATCTTAACAGGTAAAGCTTAGAATAATGGTCAAGTAATTATGGGTGTGATCCAAATAAGCGCCTTCTCTTGGCCCCTCTTTCTGGAAGCCACTATTGCCAGAGACAAGGGAAACAAAATACTCCACAGGCAAGAGAGGATTATCAGCTGCCCGCCAAATAGGCTGCCCCTTCCCCAAATTCTAGGCAGGAACAACCCTGTCATTCCACATTTCCACGTTAGGTCTATTCTCAGTGCAGTAGAAAAAGGGCAGGGAACATCACACACCGGGGCCTATCTGGGGCGGGCGGCTCGGGAAGGGATAGCATTTGGAGAAATACCTACTGTAAATGACGAGTCGATGGTGCAGTAAACCAACATGGCACATGTACAGCTGTGTAACAAACCTGCAGGTTGTGCACATGTACCCTAGAACTTCAAGTATAATAATACTACTAATAATAAAAAGAACAAACCCAGGCTTTGGAATGAGACGAACCTGAATTTAATCCCTACTTGGCTATCTATTTAGGTGTGTGTGACTTTGGGCAATTTCCTCATCTATAAAATGGATGAGGCCTCTGAGGGGATTGCAGAAAATAACATGCTTGACACTTTCCTTTTCCTTACCAAAATAAAATGTTTTAGGATGTCATCATGGAATCAGTATAGGCCAGATTTTCTAGGAAGATCTTAATTTCAAATGTTCTGTCCCACTATCCCTATAATGAGACTTGATTCTTAGTTTTTTTATATGTGCATACTGACGAGTAAGAAAAATATGCTACAAGGAGTCCATTTTGATTTTAGTATTTCACAGTAGTCCAAAATGTATGCAAACATTTCATGGTTTATTTTGGGAAGTGCTCTTTTATTGTGCAAACACTGGAAAGACCAGAGCATATATATTTTTTCTAAAGAATCTCCATATTGGTGCCTTTTGCAGGAGGTGGTGGGGGGAGGCAATTGACATGAGGTTAAGTTTTAAACTTTAAAATTGTATGCATGTCTAAGGCGGGGATGTTGCTGTTTACATTATAATTTTCTTTGTTACATCCTCCCTGCCCACCTTTCCTCTCCACAGGTAGTTTTCTCTCCTGCACATAGTTGAAGCCAATGTTCATTTTGCTCATGAGTCACTGTTTTTGCCTGCAAAAAAGGCAGAGTACACTTGATTTGCTTTTAGAGCCATTTCCAATTTTCTTACTCAGTTCACAAGTCATCAAGGTTATATTCATTTCGACTAGTGCAAAATTGTGTCTGGAGACACAGCTTAGGTAGAAATAGCTGTGTACAAATCTGGATCAATGGGAAACCAGTGATTTATTTTTTAAAGTGCCAGCATGGGTGGGGCTGATCTGAAATATTTCACATACTGGCACTGAATCCACTGCCAGCTACCTCCAGGGCAGATGAGTCTTACCTTTCCTCTGACTCCTCAGAACAGAGGAGGAAAAATGGGCTGGCCTATTACCTGAAACTCACAATAGCGTAAGAAACCGCCTCTGCTTTTATTCTGTGGTAAGTATCTCTGAGTGAATTCAGAAACAGCCTCATCTATCTCACGATGGTGAAGAGAGGGTGGAATAGAATGCCCCTAGGAATTTTCTGGTCAAATGTGACCTGTCACATGAAATAACAACCTATTATTCATTCTAACTATTTTGGGGGACACGTCTCAAAATCCAACTCTGTGTTATCCAATTGACTTAAGGCTCAAACTGATCAGTGGGAGAGAGGGTAGGTAAAAGTAGGTGATTCCAGGTACCTTGCAACTCAGTGATGATGTGATTTATCTCCATCTTCTTAATACTTCAGTGATTAAACATTTTTCTTATTGATTCTGAGTCTTCATTTTGATTATGGAAAGACTGTTCCTAGGTTAGTAACCACTAACCATTATTAAGCATTTCCTGTGTGCCAGACACTTGGTTGAGCATGCCACATGAGCACTGAGTATAATCCTAACAACATCCTAATCAGGTTGAAGCCATCGTCTATCCTCATTTTACAGTTGAAGAAACTGAGGTTCAAAATCATTAAGTAATTTGTTCAAAGTGACCCAGCTCATGAGTGCATGAATTCTCACAGAAGGCGGGTTCGTTTTTGCAGGTTCGAATCACCTGGGGAACTTTCAAAAAACACTGATGTCTAGACTCTACCAGAGATGAATTTAGAATATCTAGAGATGGTGCTTAGGCATCAGGGCTTTAAAAAATGAGTTCTTGAGGTGGCTCCAAATGATAGCCAGCATTGAGCAGCTCTGCTCCAGTGCCTGCAATATTTAGTGCTGTGCTATGAATTCTCCACTGACCAGTTTATGGCCATTGGCTTAAATACTTAACCCCTCTGAACATGAATTTCAACTGAAAACTAGGAGTACTATGTCCTCACGTCATTAGAATTACTTGAGAAAATAGCCTAACGGGACTAGTTCTGAACCCGGCACTTGTCAGGCTCACACAATGTGAGTCCCCATCTGTGCTTCTGTATCATTTGCTGTGAGTAGTTACTGCTCACTACTCTCTGTGGGCCTGACTCCAGCATTGTCTTCACTCTTTCATTAGTTGGCTACTTCCAAGCCACTACGGGCTGGGGAAGCAGATAACCAGAATGAGATATATGTATAAAATCACTGTGTTAGGGAAGAACTAATAGGCTCTGAGTCAGTGCCCGTGGGTTTTTCCTAAGGGGTCCTGGTTTGAACACAAGGATTTGGTTTAGTGGAAGGCTCACAGGCATTTGCTTCCCTTCTAGGCCAGAGTACATAGTGACCAAAACCTAGAAAGTTCTAGAAAAGCAGAGATCTAGTTTAACTCCTAGTACTACTGATGGGAATACTGAGGGCCAGAGATAGAATGTGATTTACTAAAGATCACACAATGAGTACAATCAGAGCCAGGGCTGGAAGCCATGCTTGGAAGTCCTGCACTGTTAACTGGTTCATTCATTCATTCATTCATTCACTCACTCATTCTTTCTTTCTTTTTTTCATTCCTTCATTCAACAAATGCTTATTGAGGCGCTCCATGCGCCAGGCACTCTCCTAGGTGCTGCATTGCAGTGGTGCATAGGACAGTGTACCTGCTTCCTGGAGCCCAAGTAAGTGGGGATAAGACCAGCTGTCATATCACTACCTGCTTTTTCCAGCAGTCTGGATTTTGCAATCCTCCACTCTTGAACAGAGCCACCTGGCTTTTCCTGACTAGTCTTTCTGTTCACTAGTATCTGTTTTGCATCTTTTCCTTTATTTCTTCATAGCTGCCCCCTCCTTGCCCCCACCCCTAGGACTAATCAGGCTTGCTGGTCTCCCCTAGCTTCCCAATAATAAACCTTCATATCCCTTCTAAGAATATTCCCACTTATGATTCCACAATGCACATCGTCATTTTTCGAGGCACACACTTTCTTCTATGAGGTGATTCCTTAGGGCAGGGGGATGCCAGGGATTCAGCCAAAGAGTCTACCAGGGCAATACAAAATACAAGAGTTTCTTAAACAGAACTAAATGAATCCTCACAAAAAATTTAAAATTCTCATTTCAACACATATTTTATGATGTTGTATTATATATGAGTATATATTATCTACCTTGTCAGTACACTGACATTTATTTGTGGGGTATCACAAACATTTTTTACTGATATCCATGCACAAACATGGGAACCACTCCTTAGGGACTCATATTCAGGAATCCCCCTCATGCTCCCTGACGTCCCATACCTTGAGATGGCACATCACAAATTTATGCATCACGTGATTCCACTTGGACTTCTTAAATATGGAAAGGTGCCCCACGTCATGCTGCAAAAATGAGCTCTGGGCCTAGGAGAGATGAAGTTACTGTTAGAGAAACTGGGACCCTAACAAGAAATCAATCAATGAGTCCCGTATTAGATTCACAACCTTATTTGAGAACAGTGGGTGGTCTTGTTTGACCTCCAGCCAAAATTAGTTTCTATCTCCCAGACATATCCTGCCTGATCTTTCCAACTTTTATGCCTTTGTTGTCTCAGCCTACAATGCTCTCCTTGTCACTTTCAAAGGTTTCCAGGATGGAGTGCAAAGACCATGGTCTTTGGTGTCAGACAGATTTGAATTCTAAACTGTTCTTCACCATTAACGAGCTTCACGACTCTGGGCAAGTTACTCGGTAGCTCTCACCTTCAGTTCTTCATCTGATAAAAGGGGCCACTAATACCTGACTCACGGGGTTGTTGTACTACTTACGTATATGTAAAGTGTCCAGCTTATGCTATGCACTAAACAAATATTTGTTTCCTTTCTTGTTTCCAAAAGTCACTTTTCAAGAAATAAAACAAGATGATTTAAGAAAAAGAATTAACATCCAGAATTCTGGAACCTGGAAACACATTGCAGTTAATTCTCTACGAAACCTTTTCCAATGATTCTAATGAGAATTAAATGATGCTCTTTTCTGCTCCAATAGTACATGCTTGTTCCTTTCCTGGGGATTAATAGCATTGAATTGTGCCAGGCAGTGTGTTTAGCTGTTTGTGAAGGACTATTTCCTTCACTAGATGAGTTCTCTCAGGAGCAGGGAGCATGTTGACTTTTCCTTTGTATCGACAACATGGTATCATGCTCATAGAAGGCTAGGTTCAGAGATTCATACTTTATTCAACAAAGATTTATCAAATGCCCTGCTAAGTGTCAGTTGCTATTTGTCATTTACGAAGGAACTCACACGTTCTTATTCTCTATAGGATATAACCTCTGCCCTTGAAGAATTCGTGGTCTGATGCATTGATAAATGTTGATTGGTTAAAGAATGAAAGATAAATATGCGTGTTGCATGGCAAAGGACAGAACTTACATCACTGAGATAGTGGGGATAAAACAGGGCAAAAAGCAGCAATTGTCATTAATTAAACATTTACCACAGGCCAGACAATGTGCTTTATATTTTACACATTTGCCTGATCAGTCCTCCTTAGCATAATTCCACATTCATTATTATCCTCACTTTAGAGAGGAGAGAACCAAAGCCCAGTGAAGCTTGGTCACTTGCTGGGAAGTGCCTGACACTGATGAGTACCTTGCCAAGAAGTGTCAGGCAGCAGCTAGCACCAATCTAAAGAGAGAAGAAATTCTGAGCCTTTTTATGACGATGCTGCCTGGGCTTAGTATACCTGCTTACCTGAGAAATTGTGAGAAGAAAGGAAATGAATATAGTAACAGGCCAGCCACTGCCAAAATGATACAGTATTAGCCACGCCAGCATTTCCAACATTAAGATCTGGGCAAAGTGAAGAAAGAAGAACCCCAGGTTGGCGTGGAACATGTTCATAGACTCTATGATCCTCCGCAATTCTTGGAAATCTTTCACCAACTGTGACTATGAAACAAATATTTAAAGAGTAAATTAGCTCCTTCAGGGGAAAGGGAATACAGATGAACATAATTAATAATTTATTTTATTAATTTTGTATACATCTCTATTAATAGAATTTTATTAATACATTTAATTGTCCAGAATTAAAACCCCAAAACAATGAACCAGCAAATAAAACCTTCAAAAAAGTTTATGAAAAGTTTTTGTTGTTTTCTGCAGAAGTGAAAGATGAATAATGACTTGTAAACTGTCCTAAACCTGTTATGGAATTCAGAATTAGATTTTTTCAGGGGAGGGGGAAGGAGAGGAGAGTGCAGTAAAGAGATACGTACGCCTAACAGTCGCCTTTTAAACCACCAGGATTATTTCAGGTGTTGAGTGAGCTCTGGTTCTGTTTGGGGGAACTTGGTCATCTATATGGATCTGTGTTACCATAGTTCCTGGTATAGTTTACAAAGTACTTTCCAGGCCATCAGTTGCTTAATGTGTGGAAAGGGTTATTTCATGGAAGATGGAGATCGTAGAACAATGTAGTTCACTTAGATTAGCTCTCAGGATGAATCTTCTGAGAGCTGCTTAGTGGATCCCCCAAAACAAGGCAGGGCTTTTTAGTGTGTGTGTACTCAGTTGGAGAGGTCTCGTTTAAGGGCCCTGTGTGTATGTGCATGTGTGAGTGTTCATGCACAACATCAGCGTTGGTTTACAAACTTGCACAACATATTGGGGGGCACACAAGGTTGGAAAGAAATATCTCTTAGCTTATTGACTATTATGGACTCGAAACTAGGACAGCTGGGAAAGTGACCAGGTTATGAGAAAGATAACAGCGTTGTACAGATGTAAGAAAGGAGAAACGTTAGAAACAAAATAGAAAGAGCTATGAAAATAATTCTAGAAGCCAAAAGTTTCAAAATTCACAGACACAACTTTTAAAAGACCCATTGCCTGGCAAAAGTTCTGGATAGGCTCATCTCCCAAGCCCCATCAATCTTACAATTCTTGTGGCCACAGATTATTTTAATCATTAATATTAACTTGTTATCTCTAGGGTGCCTCCAGCCTGGTCATCTTTGGCAAAACATTTATTGCAGAGTTGAGGGAGATCAGCAAAACCCAGAAGAATGACTGACTTGAAGTTATCAACGAGTCAGTGACAGGTGGTGAACTTAAACCTACACCTGACACCGAATTTTATGCTCAAATACTAATTTTCTATATACAGCAAGTAAAATATCCCCACAAATGTATTAAAGAAAATTTATGGTAGACCTTTATCTCTGGAGACCAACACTCTTTCAGATAATGATTATCTGATAGGTCTCAGTCCTTAGTGGGATTTTATTTTTCTTAACAGAAAAAATTTAGGAAAAACAATAAAGATTTGCATCACCTTCAATTTTTAACCTAGAGCTGCCTGACCCAAATGATGGGGACATATCTGAAAGTTTTAAAATTACTAGTACCATCATCAGTTCATGATTATGATAATAAGTAAAATTTATTGAGCATTTACTGTGTTCCAGGCGCTGTTCTAAGCACTTTCAATGATGACTTTAATTCTTTCAATTGTTTTCCCAATAACTCTCATAAGGTTGGTACCATTGTTTTCGGTATCTTATAGGGGGAGAAACTGAGCCAAAAGAGGTTTGGGAACTTGCCTAGACTCACACAATTTGAGAATGGCAGGGTTGGGGCGTGAGTGCAGGCTGTCCATCCTACCAACCCACTCTTCGGAACAGAGCTGTGCTGTGGGATGAACATGGGCCTAAAGAGTGAGCTTAAGTATTAGTCTCAGATTTGCCCGTAACCAGTTCTGTGTCCTCAGATTAGTCCTGCTCCCTTTGTGAGTCTGTTTCTTCATTTTTCAAAGAGGGAAAAAATCCTTGCTCCCGCTGCTTCACAGTGGTTTATGGATCCACACATTGTACAAATTATTTCAAAGGGCTTAAGAGTCAGGCAAATGTAAGCTATTACAAAAAATAAATTTCAAAAAATGGAATTAATCAATATTAAGTAAAATTCCTCTCAGTGTTATGTAAAACCATCCCAATGAGTTTTTAGTCCTATGGAGACTCTGTCCTTTAGAAGACAGTATTCATGTAGTCAAAATATTAAAGAAAGACTGGCATTTATCCTTGGGAATACCTAAGGGATTGGAGCCAGAGAGAAGTGATCTGGAGTCTCAGCTCTTTGATACACCAGCTGTCAGACTTTTAGAAAGTAATTTATTTTCCCTGAATGATAATCTCCCCAAATTTACAAAGGCTGTGGTTAGGATACAGCGACATCTTTCAATCAGTAGCTGTTTTTGGAGTTTCTACTACATGCTGATCCTGTGAAAGGAGGTCTTCAGGACACAGGGATAAGAAAAGTGGACAGTTTCAGCTCTCATGCAACTTAGTTGGGCTGGGAACATAGACATAGACATAAAGCATAATTACAAGCAGTCAATGAAAAGGAAATTATATCCATAAGTTCCCTGGCATGAAGTAGGTGCTTAGAGACATGAAATTACTGTTTGATGAAGGGCCAACAATTTCCTTCTTTTGCTTCACAAAGGTTTAAGAGTTCTGATGATCTAAAGAAAAAGGCATTGTTTGGAAATACGTGGACTCCACCCGTTGACTCTACTGTGGTCCCAGGCTTCACAGAAAACTGTTAACTGGCTTTAAAATATGCCTTGTCTCCATCCTTCTACACCCCTGGATCCTGACATCTCACTCACATTTTTGTGTCTTTCCTGGCTATGCTCTCCTGGGGCAAGTTCTCCAATGAGCAGTGGCTTCAGGTACAACTGCACAATGTCAGGCTCTGGATGCATGGCCCTGAAGACATCCTGTAAATCAGAGATACCTGTTAGAGGCTTCGAAGAGACATGCTTATCCACAGATTAGTTCCTTTACTTATCTTGTCCTGTGCTCAATCTGGGAATCAGCACAGATCTCATTGCAGAGGATTTGCTTGTAACTCCAAGTTGATGTTTCAAATTGATTGATCAAAATTATCCCTGAAAACCACCTCTGCGAAAGCTTCCTGCTGGAGACCCACCTACTATGTGTACTGCTTCTCTAGGTATGACCCACACAGTCAGGGGATCCTGGAGCATTGATGAGATCATGATTTTATTTATCACCAGAAGAAATAATGGAGTTTATGGGTTGGGATAAATCTTTACAAAAGTCCAGCATCAGTGTAAATGTGAAATTTGCTCATACTATCTGAGACAGTGCAGCAACTAAGATTGGCTATGCAAATTATATCTTCCATTGAGGGCTCTCTCTGGGTTCTTGGCCAAAGCCCAGGGGAATAAGGCCCCTTGAATTAGTTAATTCTAGAGAAGGACAGGTTACAGTTGATGGCTTAAGGCAAAGGCATGAGAGATTATAAGAACGCAGCCCTAGAGCCCTGGGTGGTCTAAAATAGTACATCTTTGGCTAAGCTTGTCACTGAAGGAGTCTCCTCACTCTCTACTAAAAAGATGCTGTGTTGGCCTGTGCAGAGACTCGGTGACAGCCAGAAGCAGAATAGAAGTGACAAACTATATTTTTCTATCTCAGGTGCGTGTTAAGTAGCAATTCCATATGGCTATGAGAAGCAGTGATGATGCCTACATCCTACTTATGTTTGGAAGAAAGACAGTCTTCTCTTCCAGGGATTTAAATTGTTTTCGGAAAGAAGAAAGATTTTCCAAGAGGGAGATGCTAGACATGTTGCTATTATGGTTTGGAGATGGCAGCAATTAAAAATGAAGAAATATAACCAAAGTTGTAAATTGTATACATGAAGCCATACAAATTACTCTGCAGTGGTGGTGTTGCATTATACTGATTACGAAAGTGGACCCTGGAGCCAGCTTTCCTACATGCAAATTCTGGCATTGCTACTTACTAGTTAAGTAATTGTAGGCAAGTCTCTTGAATTGCCTGTGATGCTTCTATATTCTCTTCCCTAAATGGGGGCGATAATAATAGCCGGCCAATTCATAAAGTTATTATGAGGATTAAGTAAATTAATAATAATGCCAATGGCATTTACTATGTGTTAAATACACATCAGATATATTTCTTATGTGTATACCTCCACTGATAAGAACCCACTACCTACCTTCTCTTCAATATTCAGAGGTTTCCTCCCTTTACCTCAATGCCTAATGTGGAGTGAACTTTGAATTATATTAGAGAATATAATGAGTGCTACATTTTCAAATACTAAATCAACTTTAGATATATCCAAGAATTACATAGGAGCCTACTTATTATTGTAGTATTATAATAATGCTGTACTATAATATAATTACTTATGGAAGTAAGAAGTTATTTTTATAATTAACAAGGTTAATTAGAAGGATACAATATCAACTCTTTAGACTGATTTCACCTATGGGTCTCCAGATGCAATGATGTGAAATGGGCTTTTTTTTTTTTTAAGTATTTGTATATTATTTTAATTTTGTGCACACACATATATATATACACACTCTAGACACTTTCTCATTTTCTCACAGCTGTTTTTTTACGTTTTTTTTTTGCTTTAAATCTCCCTTTAATTCTTTTTTTTTTTTTTATTATACTTTAAGTTTTAGGGTACATGTGCGTAACGTGCAGCAGCACTATTCACAATAGCAAAGACTTGGAATCAACCCAAATGTCCATCAGTGACAGACTGGATTAAGAAAATGTGGCACATATACACCATGGAATACTATGCAGCCATAAAAAAGGATGAGTTTGTGTCCTTTGTAGGGACATGGATGCAGCTGCATGTTCTCACTCATAGGTGGGAACTGAACAATGAAATGGGCTTTTATCTGTTAGAATCAGTCCAGGCAGTGAGGTTCCATTGCTTCTTTTGTACAGATAATGCCACCAGTGTCCATTTTGCTTCTGTACACTCCTCCCGAGTGCCTTGGGAAATGCTGGACTAAATAATTTCAAAGGTGTTTAAATTTTTCACATTTATGATACGAAAGCTTAGGTTCCCTAACCAGGAAGAGTGATTCAGTGATTAAGAGGGTGATTAAAATATCTCATTGTGACCCATACTGAAAAATGAAGTGCTGCTTGCTGTTTCAGAGCAGGTTAGAATGGAAGACATCCTGATGGATCAAGATCAAAGTGTAGAATGTCATCTATCGCAATTTCATTGTACTCTGAGCAGCTATCTAGAGTCCTGGAACAGTGTGCTGACAATAATATTCTTCTGGGTTCATTGTTGCTTCAAAGGTTTGTAGGGGACAAACCATATGGGACAAACTGTGACAAAACATATGGGAACGCCGCAGAGATTTTCAGAATAATAGATACTGGCCTGCTCTGTGGAACTCTTTCCTGCATCAGTGGGGCAGTACAACAAAGGAGTTTAGGTAGCCTTAGACTATTCTATTTGAAAGAATTTTCAAACAGAATCTAGATACTAAGTTGTGAAAGTCCCTTCGTGAAAAGTCTGCAATAATGCAAGTCCTGTTACCAACATTCTTGGGCCAAATGTGTTCCAGCTGAAAGAAGGAGAGGGGATAAAATTAAGAGGAGAAGGGGTAGTGTCAGTGTTTATGAAGTGTGTCCTGTGTACAAGGTATTCTACGGCCCAACTCATAGGCACCATTTTGTTTCTGTGAGGTTCTATCACTTTCATTGTACAGATCAAGACACTAAGTTTCAGAGGGGAGACGTATCTTGCCCCAAATGCTACACTCAGTAGCAGAGCCAGGATTGGAATTCGGGGTTATGCAATTCTAAAGCCTTAAAGCCCTAAAGGTCCATTCCAGCCTTAACACATACAGTTTGTTTTCTTAAAAGTCCTCCCAAGAAAGGAGTGATGCCAGATTGCGGATGATGCTAAAATCAGTATGTATCTGCTTGGCAGATGGTAATGGCATGTCCCCACCATAGGTCTGAGTCATGTAAAACACTTTGCGTCTGGCTCCAACCTGCCTCCCTAGACTCATCTTCTCTATACCCTTCACGCATCATCTTCTCTACTGGAGCCTCCCCATTCAGTATGCATTCCACGGCTGTCTGTAGTTCTGAGGCTTTACACTTACTGCTCTCTTGGCCTTGACTACCTCCTTCGTTTTCTCTAAAAGCTCCTCTCACTCTTCAAGGCCCAGATTAAACATTGCTTCCCCCAATCACTCAGGAAAATGATTCACGATTGCTCCTGGGTTCACAGGACACTTTGTTCCTAGAACTTTTCAAATTTATACTATACTATACTATACACTATACTATACTATACTATACCATACTATACTATACTATACTATACTATACCATACTATACTATACTATACCATACTATACTATATTATACTATACTATACTACATTGTACTGTACTATACTATACTGTGCTATACTGTACTGTATTGTACTATACTATACTATACTATACTACACTACACTGTACCGTACTCTACTATACTGTACTTTTATACTATAATGAATCTTTGTGTTCACCCCTTTTTTTTTAGTGGTTTGTGAGTTTTTTAAAGACTGGGACCATGTACTATTACTGGTCAATGTATACCTAAAGTTGATCACTGTGCCTGAAGCATATCATGTGATCAATAGACACCTGACAAATAAGGGAAAGGGTGAATGAATGAATGGATATAGCATTTCTATAACAAGGTATTAGGATAATCAAAGTGTGGCACTCAAAGTAGACAGGTGTTAAGCACAAAGTGTGGCACTCAAAGTAGACAGGTGTTAAGCACAAAGTGTGGCACTCAAAGTAGACACAAAGTGTGGCACTCAAAGTAGACAGGTGTTAAGCACAAAGTGTGGCACTCAAAGTAGACAGGTGTTAAGCACAAAGTGTGGCACTCAAAGTATACAGATGTTAAGCACTGCTGTCTCTTTCTATCCATGGCATCTCTATTTTCTGACATTTTTGTGACTCCAACATCTCACATTTTCATCTGTTAGTCTTTTGACTTCCTTCTCAATCATCATCTTTGCTATTTAAATTATTCATAAATTTATACCATAGCTCATCTCATAACTGATTATTTCCAAAATAGTAACAGCATGGAGATGTGATTACTACTTTGCTTTCACAAATACCTTGGATAAACTGCTAATATTTTTCCTGTTATTTGATAGGAGATGGAGTCATGTGCTTTCTTATAAAAGCAGCATGATCCCTAGTGGAAGAGAAAAGTATATAAAGTCAGAGGGTGTGAGACAAAATTCTGTTTTTACAACTTAAATGCTGTATACAGGCTGTGCCCTGTACAAAGGCACTTGGCCAAGATGGCAAGTGTGGCCTGACTTCCAGTGGATACTCCATTTGCTGAACCTTCTGCTTACAGGGCTGCAATCACCCAAAGAGTGTGCCTTTCCTAATTCACACTAAGGCATGGTATAGGGTAGCAGAGGTGTAGGCTGTTTCACACACAGAAATTACTTAATTTCTCCTAAATGTAGGTAATACTACCTAATCTTCTCTATGAGCTCATTAATTCCTTCATTCATTTATTCAGTCATTCTAAAACCCATGGAGGAGCCAGCCTAGAGGTTAAAAGCTTAGATTTTGGAGTCAGACATCAAGAAGTGGCCATGATTCTATATGATTATGACTTAGTTCATTGGAGGTGGGTTGAAATTTCCCAAAAGAAATTTACTAAGGAACAAGCATAAATTTAGAAACCATCCATGGAGAATGTTGTATGTGTAGTCATAAAACCAGATAACTAGAATATAGACCTTGGTGTACTCACTGCAAAAAAAGCTCATGAGACTGTTCTATAACCAGCCACAGATGAAGACCTCTGTTCCTGCACCTTTGGGTAATTCCTCTTCTGCTTCCTTCTCAGATTTCACCTGCCCTAAGGCAATGGCTAGAACAAGTCTCTACAAATTTCAGATGGACAGTGAGTTCTGAACAGGCCAGTTTTGTGTGGAGAAAGCATCTTTGCCCTTGTCCTGGGAGACAGCTGTTTTGGAGTGGGAATGATCACAGAAAGTCACCAGATTCCTCTTTACCCATAGGGATAAGCAGAGGGTTATTTTCCCACTGCAACTCATTCTATCGTCTGAACACTTTCATTTCTTGAAAACCCTTCCTTATATTGATATTTTTTTTTTCTGTAATGCTTTCAGCTGAGCTCCAGCCCAAAGGAACTCAACTCTCCCCTCCCCTTCCTCTTCCTTTCAAACCTGTGCATTCTCCTGGGTTTCCTTGTAATAGATATCACCACTTAGTTGCCCAAGCCAGATATCTTAAGTCAGCTTAGACTCCTCCATCCTGTTGGTTTATCAAGTCACTCATCAAATACTATAAATTACGTCTTCTAAATATCCTTCCCACCCATCTCCTTTTCTCCATTCCTGTAGCCAACACCTTGCTTGGGCCTTCAACATGTTCCCTGGACTCCACCCTGGTCTTCCTTCACTTTAGGAGGCTTTTCTGGATTTCATCCTTCACTTAACTGCCAGACTCACCTTCCAGAAAGGCAGTGTCTCCTCATGGCCTATTTTCATCTCTAAGCGCTTGAACTCCTTTCTCTTTCCTCTCCTCCATCTATTTTACAACTAGAACTATCATTTCCATGAGAATCAGATAATTTTAATAATTGCAGGAAAGATGCAATTATCACTGATTATTACTTTTCTTTTACCAACAGCTTAGAAATGCCAGGGAGTTGTGTTGTGAGAATGAAGGTGGGAGGGATGCTGTGCTAGGGATACATTCTCACATATAGTAGGAGGAGAGACAGCCATAAGGGTAAAATGCAAACTCCTTAGCTCGGCACACAAGATCCTTTCCCTCCCTCTTCTTTCTCTTTTCTCTTCCCCTATCTCTTCTCTCTCTTCATCTTCTCTCTGTCTTCTCCTCTTCTCATAGCCAGTGAATTCCTCTGTGATAACCACTAACATTAGTTAGCATGTAGTTTCGGCCAATATTATGCTAAGTAAAGGAAGTGTCCAGGCTGGGATGCCCATTCTGGTGGGGTGCTTACTCACGCCATGAATCATGTTTGTACTCCATTTCTGTATACACCTTCCCTTTCCCCTGCCCCAGACTTGCCTCTGCTGGCTCTACTCATCTGAAACCATTCAGAATGCCCTCTTCTGGTGCCGCACACAACTCTTCCTTCCTCCACATACCAGTCCTCCAAATAGTTGAAATGGACCCTGCCATATTTCCTGTAAGCTTTTGTTATTCTTTCCCATCCTGTTGGACTCTGACTCTCATGAGAAAGAACTTTAGTTTCTTAGTCTCTCTACTAGAGTGTTGTGTCCAGAAATAAGGAGTGTGCTAACCAGCACACAAGATAATAAAACTGCTTTCTTTGTTCTGATTATGCTGTCTCTCTGAACGCATCATAAGATTGCAAGTATGTTTTTCGTGGAGCTCAGAACACACTGTTGTTTTATACAAAATTTGTGGCCAGGTATTTATTCATATATATTTACTGTCATCAAAGTGTTTTATAGGCCAGGTGCAGTGGTTCACACCTGTAATCCCAGCACTTTGGGAGGCCGAGGCAGAAGGATGTTTTGAGGCCAGGCATCTGAAACCAGCCTGGGCAACATAGTGATATCCTATCTCTACAAAAAAATTTAAAAACCTGGCTGTGATGGCATACACCTCTGGTCTCAGCTATTTGGAAGGCTGAGGCTGAAGGATCGCTTGAACCCAAGAGTTGGAGGCTGTAGTGGGCTATGATCATGCCACTGCACTCCATCCTAGGCAACAGAGTGAGACCCTTCTCTAAGAAGAAAAATATGTTAACTGCTCTAAAGTTCATATGGAACCAAAAAAGACCCCGCATTGCCAAGACAATCCTAAGCCAAAAGAACAAAGCTGGAGGCATCACGCTACCTGACTTCAAACTATACTACAAGGCTACAGTAACCAAACCATCGAAAGAAGGTGGCAAAGGATGAGAGCAGGACGCAGGTGCGTGCTTCGCGAAAAGAGCGACTGGCATACAGCAGGATGTGAGGGACACGACGAAAAAATGCTCATCATCACTCGCCATCAGGAGAAATGGCAAAAGAGTCAAAAGGGCCAGCAAGTGGGGAGTGGACCATTCTCGACGAGCGGCCGTGTGGTAGAATGGCACAGGATTTAAAAAGTCAGGAACAAACAGGGTGCTGGGAGAGGGATGTGAGGAGAATAGGAACACTCCTTTACCAGCTGTTGGTGGGACCGATAAAGACGTAGTTCAACCATTGTGAAAACAGGTGTGGTG